AATCCCAGTGCGACGCTGCCAATGCCACCCGCCGGTCAAACGCCCCCATCCTCACTCCTGGTCAGCGCAATGAGCAGGCACACAAGCTCTCACCACAGTGGGATCCCAACCCCTGGACCGTGGACCAGATCTCTGGGTCTACGGTGACGATCTCCAACTCAGCAACTGGCCAAAGATCGACTCGCCATAATTATGTCGTTCGTCAAGCCCGTAATTGTTGTCACACAGACAGCCCATCACCCACTACCAGCTGAAAGTTCTGCCACCACACCTTACAAAATTACAACAAAATCACATGCAAGAAGTCCTTTCACTTTGACTACTGCTCGTTGCGTGACATCACTCCTCACCAAAGGACTTCCTGGGGATCACAATCCTAAACAGACAAATGTACGAATACCGCAACTGACTCTGTTGTTCTGCACGCCACGATCAACACGACTGCGTGCAAGACACAGCTGATCATCGTCGCTGTACTCTTCCCTGAGCACGTTACCCTGTCGCTGCAGCCTGCGACGGACATTCCATAGTTCCACCAACTTGATGGCTTGATGTTCCCATTGACGTCGACCATGCGGTGTTGCCATTGACGACCTTCAACTTCAGGTCCTTGCCGTGGTCCGCACCACTCAAGAGATGGGCCACATTTGGTGTACTTTCACCCAGTTGGTCACTTATTTTAACCTTGCCGACTTTCCACTGCCGGACTGTTGCTTCAACAACTGGCGGAGAGCACATACGCATATCATCACTCTTCCTTGCAAACATCATTTCCGTCTCCACCACGTCCTTATCAGCCTGATCCATGCCTGACACCCCCAAGGCACTGTCCACTGTGCCGCCGGGCTGGTGGAGCGACGGACCGATTCTCCAGTGACGGTCGTCGTCCACAAGGCTGTTGGAGTGCGCATCCAAGATGTGCTAGAGCTGTTCAGTGTCGTGCAATAGCTATCGCATGAGCTGATTGTTTAGTAACTGGTGGTGTTAGTGGACAGTATAGCGTAACTTGTAGTTCCTTGGTCTTTCTCTTTTGTATAAACAAACTAGTAAGCTAACGATAAACTAGTTATGAGACAATTCGACTGGCACAAATTACAACAAAATCACATGCAAAAAGTCCTTTCACTTTTACTACTGCTCGTTGTGTGCCAACCACCATCATCAGTGTGCGCATTGCGCCTGGTTTGGTGCATGCCTGGTGGAATCTGACATAGCGGCTGATGCAGTGAGCACGTCAGGTAACACCTAACGCATTGAAAATGACTCAACTATGACTTGGTTCGATTGCAAAAAACCTAATGATAGTGGTACCGAAACATTCGGGTAACCGGAGTAAGTGCCAATTGATATTTTTGGCTCCAGTCAGTCAAGTGATTCAATTGCAATACAATTATATACGTATGGTGGAACTCACTTAGTACGTACCCGGGTAAGACATACACCTGCATAACACGGTCCTCTTTTGTCGCACGGATTTTCCTCCCATAAGCGCATATTCAGATGTGTACGGATACGACTGCTTCCTTCTGTTCATGTGGTTCATTGTCGCTGTGTTACTGTATGCAGATCTCACTCAGCTCTGCTCTCCGAGCATGCTGCTTCCAACACGACTTCCCGAAAGGTATGTATGGTGGCTAATAAATAATGCGAGAGTCTTTACGGATTCCAGTGCTCTCATGCCTTTTGCAAGTTCCTTTTGTAAGTCAAATGGAACATGGTTTGTGGTCAATACTTCAGCAGTAGTGGTGCGAGAATATTCGGGTGTCAAATTGCTCGGAATTGATGTATGATAACGGAGAATATACCAACATGTGAATCACTTGGAGATATGGTCTGCCAGGTTCTATTCACACTCACTAGGCTAGACCCTCTCGAGTATTGTACAACAGTTTTGGCCCAGGAGTGGTAAAGGGCACGGGGCAAGCTATGTCGGGACCTGCTGTAAAGTCTGCCATACACGAGCTGTACGTCTTATCGGATGGGATATACCCCTGATATTGCTGATAATGAATGGCCCAGTTTCATTGTACTGCTGTCCGCGATATTATATCCTTAGTGGCATTGTTAACTTCTCATTGCTTGTGGGGACGCATGGATCATACGTCCATCCAACACCTGCCAATCGGAACCCACCGACAACGCTGTCGGTTGGGTTGGACCACAATCGGTTGGTTTTTGAGTCCAAGATGCCACCTAGGTAGCACACAGCATTGCTAATCTGATTTTAAATTAGCTGCGCAAATCCTGGCATACTGCCCGCAAATGCATCTAACTCCCAGGGTACTTATGAGTTTTTAGGTCTATGTGGTACTTGTGTCGCATTGGCAGCCACTGTTCCGTTCTGTATTTTCTGGTCTATGTGTCGTTGAATCTCCACAGAAAATGTGCTCGCGCATTAGAAGGAGGTGAAAGATGCACCTGCAGGAGAATACATGCTTAAGAGAAGGCAGAAACATGCCCGGATCCACCAGAACTAGTGCTGGCAAGTCAACAGAGGCGAGTACTGATAATGTTCCAGATTGTGGTAGGATCACATAAGCAAAATTGACACTGGGAGGCACGGCGGTGGGTCAGCTCATGGCCAGCGCCAGCTCCAGTGGATATCACGTGCATCCAGTTCTAGTAGGGATATCAGCGAACGCACTGCGCAGCCCATCTGCGCAGGTCAGCCTGGCCCATCTACGCGCGGCCGACAAGAAAACTCATGAACACTTTCATTTTTTTGCAAAATAAATCGTGCGAAGAAGATGCACGGAATGGCTGAAAACTAGGCTGAGGAATAGTAGCATCCAGAGACTCTCAAACAAATTCATGGTCCATCGCTTCTGACAATGGCAGCGAAGACATCAGGGAGCTGATTGCAGCAACTCTCTACCAAGCGCGATGCTGGTTACTCACCAGGGCAGGGCGCTTCCATCGCGCAAGAAATGGCCGCGAGCGAGAAATGGAAGTCCGATTTTGGAACGATCCAACCAGGGAAATTCCTTGAAAATTGGCCTGAACACCTCTCATACTGGTGTTTCACGATGTGCAAACTTTCAGAGAAATCGACCGGGGAGAACGTGGTGAGTACGTGGGTCCTCGAGTATCGCGTATGATTTGAATGGTCGCGGGGACAGAAGAACAGTAATTTTACGACTCCCAGCGGTGCAAGCAGACCGCGGCCATGTTTTCTCTGTCGGCCGCGATCACGTTCAAAAAATCGATGACGCAATGCATGCGCAGAGGCCTGCGCAGTGCGTTCGCTGACATCCCTAGTTCTAGTACTATAGTATGACTGCTACAAAGTAGTGCGGCCCAAATAGAACTCGGGTCAGGTGCCGAAGAACTGGGGGGTGGGGGGGCATGTATCAATGAATGGTAATAACTCCGGAAATCATGCTGGTGTATCGAGGGCGTGGGCCAATGAAGTGCTGGATTGATGGTGGACGACTGAACTGCAATCTTGGCTGGTCCCACTATCGCAGAGACAGCACTTCCTGGTGCAACCACCCTATCCTGCAATCTATATAATAATTGTTATAAGAGATTTGTGTGAACGATTTTAGCATGATGCAAGTCAGCTTATTGTGCTGGGGGCCTGGCTACATGTCACTATAGCTTTTTATAGACTCGATCACCGCATTACGCTGCCTTGCGTTGACTTGATTGAGCACTCTTTTTGGTTAGTGTCAAAGGTATATGTAATATGTATCTGCCTTCGTGCAAAGCTCTCTTTGTGCGTGTCTTGCAGATAGCTCGCTGACTTTGATGCTTTGAGCCATTTTCAAATTGCTTTTTTTGTTCATTTCATATAGACCGTATTGCCATTTGTTTAACCTCCCGCTCTGAGCTCCACTGATGGGACCTAAAAAAGGCTGAAACAGCTGTCTGGAGATTGAGCGTCAGTATTATGGATTTAGAATACACGATCTGGGGACAGCACTAGTACTGTCTAGCTGTTTCGTCCTTTGTGGACTCATTAGCGAATCACGGAGAAATAACTCTTAACTAAGGATGAACCTAGCAGCCATGAAAATAGATAAATAATGCCTCCAAGCCAGAATTCAAGGCTACATGTGTAGGCCCGAATGTGCCTTGCCCAAGTGCTGAAACTGATAAGTCATTCAGATACGCATAGAACATCTGGCAAAGGAACTACTAAAGCCCCCACAAGCACGGTATTCTACTTCAACAAGGAAGAATTTTGAAAGCATGCACAGCCCTACATGTATAATGTTGGTATAGGTAAGCCTTGTTTGATAAATTAACATGACAAGGCGGGGGACGCACTGTGTTAAAAAACAGTGCTCCTGATACACTAGTATGTCCTCGGCTTTGTCACATGCTGTCAACCGATCAACACATACAACGTTGCATGCAAAACGGCTGCAGCCTCGAAGTACGGAGTGCTATTTTGGAAAATGCTAGATGTACAGCCTGTACTTATACAGGTGTTCTATCAACTAGTGCCATTATGACAACGGTAGCTGAATGATACATGTACATAAACCCGGGGTCATCATTTCAAGAACCTCTGGGTCTAAGCCCGAAGTAACATTCAACTACATGACTGTATACACCATCATGTATACACCATCTTCGTAGTAACTGAGTCTACCCCTCACCCACTACTGCCACTGTGACCACAATTGCGCACAAACAGAGGAGGACCTACTTCTAACTACAGTGCTGGCCAAAGAAATCCAACCTTATGAATAAAATTACACCGGGCGCTATGCAGCCCTAGTAGTAAACATACTGGACCGGTCTGTGCTCTCGAACGCGGCGCTACTTTATTAACGAGGTTGGATTTCTCTGGCCAGCACTGTACAAAATACACACATGCACACACAACACTGCTAGGCTTTCCACCACCACACTAGGTTTTGAAACCGAAGAGTGGCAAAATTCAGGGCCAGACTAGAAAATCTGGGGAGACCTGATGGTTTTTTAAAGCAAAACACAGCCAACACTCTGCAGCCTCACAGCCTCCGGCAGGTTTTCCCGAGCGCAAAAAATTAAAAGTTGTTGAGGCACCACGAATACAGTCGGGCGTCACAGAACGTGGGACCCAGGAATGTACGTGTATACCTCTAGGTACACCACAGCCAATAACGTTAAAAAAAAGAAACGCAGTGTCAATAGACTCGAGTCTCTGCTTTTCTGGAATACAGATTCTGCTACACACGTATTGCTCACTATCCAGTGGGATGTGCATCTAAGAAAGTGGTACAAGAAGTCAAGGAACTAAGCCTAAGGCCAGATTGCTGAAAGGTTTTGTATAACTGACGAGCCTGACCCCTTGGAAACAACAGCTGTGGATGCGTGGCTCTACTGTAATAAATGTACAGGTACACAAACAATTTGAATGCAGAAATAACAACAACAAACAGGGAGAGGTGTAGGAAAATATACTCGGCCCCTAGTGAATTTGCTTGTGTATTAGCTTGAAAACTTTGGGTACACTTGTTGAGAGACCTAACTGCATGCAGCTAAAATATGGAGTGCCGTTGTCACCGACGACTTTTCCAGTAAAGTTGCGGCTAACATCTTCTCAGGTATTCCCGGGTCTTCGCTAAGGCCGTAAGGGTGGATGATATCATGTGCGTCTTCTATTGCTGATGTCGCTACACTCGATGGTGGTGCTGATGTACTGATTGTGGTGGAAGATATTGAGATGCCGTATGTCTCGAACCTTTTCGCTAGGTCTCCGCGGCCATCACGCAAGAGGGTCGGGAGCACCACAACTGCAACGCCACAGATCCAAGGATCGATTCTCGGACAAAACATTCTTCAGATTGCCAAAGGTCCCCAGTGCTTGGCAATACTGGCCTGTACAGCATGAACACACCACACATACGCCCACACACCATGTACCATGTAAACGCCCGTTGCAGGAGAAGCACGCAAATCTGCAAATGAATTGGATGTGCACCCACAGATTTTCTCGTATAGGAACAATAGCTGATCTGAATCTGAATAAAACAGATCAAGACTAGTGCCAGATAACAGTCTAATCCGCACAAGGCAACTGGCGCAGCCATGTGAATCTCGAGCAAAATGGACAAACATGTCCCCAATTATCAGCAAACAGGTGTGCGTTACAGGATTGGCCTGGCAACTTCAAACAGGCACAATCCACTAACGTGGTGCCCCTTCAACTTCAACGGGAACACACCGATACAAACACAGCCCCACAACAGCAAAACGGGAACGCCGTTACAAATATGGTGCCCTGGCAACTTAACGGGAACGCACCAACACAAGCTGGCCTGGCACCTTCAAACAGGCACAACTGACAAAACACGGCATCCGGCAACAGCAAATGGGTAGGTACACCGTTACAAGAACAGTCCATCGCACCAAAATGCTGCTGCCACAACATTATAGCAGCAGCACGCCAGACATGCATACATGGCATTCCCAAAAGCAGATACCTGGAGTCAAATTCATCCATCACACTGTTTGTTAGGGCTGAATTTTCCAGTGACATTAGGAAATCCCGCCTAAGGCTCATGTGATGAGATCTGTACACCAACTCAGGGTATATTCTAGGACGAATTTCCAACCGGTTACGGTACAATGAAGAGTCGGGGGGTCCCCCTCCGGAAATAGTTTTCAAAATACAACCCAAATATGGCACTCGACAGCAATTTAACAGATTTCTTGGTGCTGGAGTGTCGCGCGGAGCTGTTGGACTGTAGCAACGCCGTTGCTACAGCTCGATGACGTGGTTCGACCGTACAAACCGTACAAACTCGTGACCCTAGTACCAGCCCACGCGGCTTCGCTGGAAGTATCCGTCCAGAAAAAAGCGTATGACCATTCACAGCTCCATTCACCCACAGAAAAGTACGGGCGGTTGGAACTGATTTGTAACTTTTCAACCGGTCGCCAACTATTTCAACCGGTCGAAAACCGGTTGGGGCGGTTCTAGAAAGTTCCCTGCAACTATAGTCACAGTATCAATGCACATTAGTAGAGCATAAGAACTCACTTGCGCTCATACCCTGTCACGTAGAGATGCTACTCTACGTGTACTGTTCCGATGTCCATTGGGGTGGTATGCCGGCCACTTGCCAGATGTAGAGCTTTTAAGCCGTACTTTGCCACCGTCTGCTTGCCGTATCACCACCTCACTTGCAACTCTGGATTCCAGGACTGTCGCTCCAACAATGGGCATGGAGCAGGAGCTAACCTGATAACAGTTGAGAGCGTGACAGAGTATCTTATTTAAATAAGGCCGAGTAAGGTGGATCCCTTTGCCTTTGGCAAAAGTGAACACAGGCTTGGTGCTACAGGCATGGGCTGTCATGTACCGGAATAGCCAATACCGGGCATGTTTGGTCGACAGTAGATGGAACTGCGACGGCTCCACCGTATTTGGCCGCGTCTTAGTGACCTTCAGGCGCAACGTGACCAAGTCAGGTGCGAGACTCCCAGCCTCCCACACAAATACTCTTTGGCTGTCAAACGAGTGAATACTAGTAGATGATGCTAAATACTCGCTGGCAAACAATAAGCCATACAAGGCCAGTAGTATACTTACCCACAGCATAGCCTGATCTACAATATGACTGATTGGATCGTTGTAAGTATTGCCGAAAATGGATTAAGTCGTCCACTAAAAGCTCTTTGAAACTCGGAGGTTGAGCCAATATGGCAATAATAAAATTAATGTAGAAAGGAAAAGGACGTATGGATATGAGTGTAGAGTAATTGTCACTATATACTAAATACAGTCAGAAAGTGCAACAACCCGGCACTAAAACATTTGACGACCCGACTCCTGGCTTCAACACATCTCCGTAGTGTTAAGGAGAGACCAAAGAGGGAAAGGTAATACTGGTTTCGTCATCGTCCAGTAACAATCAACATTTCTTGTTCTTGTGGGACTGTAGCTTCAACTACTAGCTTGTGCTCATTTTCGTTGCGCTTACCTTCCCCTCTTTGGTCTCTCCTTTTAACCTTGAACCTTCCAAGTTGGAAGGCTGTTGGTTAGCGCTACGGAGATGTGTTGAAGCTAGGAGTCAGGTCGTCGAATGTCTCAGCACTCTGTCAGTTTTGTGCCTAGTTGTTGCATTTTTTTACTGTAGTAGCTAGTTACAGTGGTGGACAGTTACTCTTAACTCGTATCCATATGTCCTTTTCCTTTCTAATAAAAGCTCTATCCGCAAATATGCCGAGGTGGCTTGCCGTATCTCCCTCTATGCCATGCAACACAACTGTTGAGCGAGCAGCTTTTAGGCCAGCCCCATTGCACAACAGGTAATAGGCTACTAATAGCGTAACGCAGCTAGGTAAACACGAATCGATGAAAGAGGCAGACTTCTTAGAACAAAGAGACTAGTTGTGAAGGACACAACATTTTCAGCAGTCAGCAGTAGGAGAAATTGCTCTTAATTAGGCAGCAATACTAGGCTTACACGTTTGTGTCATGCGTTCTGAGACGGAGTCCTTGACTAGCTCGTCACTGGCCGCACTCAGAGCAGCAGTCGTCACTACACATGGGTTGGGAAGCAATGGACAAAATTAACACTTGCCATGCACACATGCACTGCTTAGGGGTCATCGCAAAAGTTTTCTGTCGTCCCTGAAACGAACATCGTTCATTTCGTACTCGGACCCCCTCCCCTCCCTCTGAAACGAACACAGCTTGCTATGCTGGACGACGAAAATCGCATGCATGTACATGTCATATGTACAGTGTCGGTCGACTTGTGATTTTGGCTCGCACCCCCTCCCCCCCAAATGAATCATGTTCGTTTCAGGGACGACAAAAAACTTTTGCGACGACCCCTTACCAGCTAAGTTAATATGTCATACTGTACTGCAGCAAGCAAGGAACTGGCAATACCTGCACCAGGCCTATCTACTGTGACCCATGCCATTGTGAATGAAAAGAGGCAGCATTTGACAGTATGAGCGGTGTGATGAACGGGAATGCATAATACAAGCCAGTCGAGCATTGGTACATGTACTTACGGACGCAAGTTGGCTGCACACCGCTCCACTGGCCGTTGATTTCACAAGTACACACGGCCGAGCCCATAAGGACATAGGGAGACTGCACACAAACGTGGTCGTGTTGCTGAACATCAAGCCGTTCACGGTCATTGAGCCCAGTGCCGGTGGTGACAGGACCTGGCAGTCGGTTTGACCTGCACAAGCACAGAGTGCACAGAGCACAGGCATTCAGTGCATGCATGTTTGGCCTAGGGGTGAAACGAGTGCCAAAATTGAGGACTCGAGTACTCTTTGAAAAAACGAGCGAGTATTCGAGCGAGTACGAGTATTTTACTGACAACATAAAACAATGTACTGCACACACTCTCGTAACACTGAACTTATTACACCTGACACATGTAGTCTTGCATGCAGCCTAGTGCAGGAAATAGTCTGAACTACGTCTTTTGTTGGTAAGTAGGGACAAGTAATAATTTCACACTTGCATGGGTTATCAGTACTGGTCAGAGTAACAGACGTGCTTGATGTACAAGCATACAGTACACTGTGCATAAGATACTTGAGTATTTTGCGAAACGAGTCCTCACTCCTTTCGAATTTTCGAGCAAGCGCTCGAGTATTCGATATACTCGTTTCATCCCTAAAACGTTTGCGTATGTGTGCGTGGCACAGACATTGGTTTTGAATACATTGTAGTACACGCATTGTGTAAAGGAAATTGATGCGAAGACTGCCTCAACATGGCCATGCAAAGTAATAAAATAAATACAGCAGTGAATAGCGGTCAACAGTAGCTCTACATTTTGCTTGTAATAGAAGTCATTAGCGTCAGAGCAAGAAGAGGGACAAGACGAGTCAAGGGACAATCCGGAGGACGCAATATCATACGACCAACTGTTTGTTTCTACCAGCGTTATTGTACCGTCGACACAGCTCTGGGCGAATGCCGCGGGGCCTCCCAGCGTGTCAACGGCAGTGGGTGATGGGCAGATAACAAGGTAGCTTGCGGACAACATCGGTGGCATGAAGCCTAGTGACTGCCAAGCGTCTTGGCGCGACGGGCGAGCAGTACAGTGTCATGCCCCAGGGGCTGCTGTGGCTGTCGACGTCGGCGGGTCTTGAGGTGCGTTCGCAGGCCTTCATGGCGCTCGGACAACTGCAATACTAGTACACAGACTCTCACTACTAGCTACATAGTACTCTGATTCTGGCACGTTATTTCTGCATTGAATAGTGATTGATTTTCCGCGCCGAATATCCGACGCTGCATGCATGTCCAATGCGCGTCAACAGTACTTCACACTTTCCTTTTCCCGCGTTATCACCTCAGCTATGCCAGTTTTGTATGTGGAAACCCCCTATATAATAGCAGTTTGGTCTATATTTTTAATCATTCAATATCTACCTTCACTGATGAGCTATGTATTAGCGAAACAGCTGTCTGAAGGAGTTTATCAATATCGTCTACGGAAGTGTCCTCGCAATGATGATGGTTGTGTGCAGGAGGGTCTAGTCGGCTAAAGAGCGCAGTGTGGTGGTGGAGGTGACTCAACATTTTCTTCAATGGCCGAGAGCTCTGTCGCACCCTGTAATAATAATAGAAGTCATGGTACTACTATCAGTGCTGCTGCTGGTGCTTACCTGGAGCTGGTGTGACCTTGCCTGGGCAGTACTGTGCATCAGAGCCATCAGCACAGTCGTACCAAACACCGTCGCAGCGCTGTGATGGCAGGATACAGCCACAGGCTGGAACGCAGGCAGGGCAGGTAGCCAGACTGGCACTGCAGTTGAATGGCTGGATACACGTACCCATACACACAACACACAAAGCAGTCAAGAGATGAAGAAAGTGTCTGCTCGGCACATCTTTTGTACAGTCAAGAGATATTAGCATATTTGGAGGAGGTGGTAGCCTAAAACAGGCTCGACAAAAGTTACCGGCTTATGCCAACAACTCAGTGTTCTGGTAGAGGAGACGGTTCGATACCGGAACGCCTTGACAGCCAAATTTGTATAGACCCAAACCGATCATCAGCGTTGATTTTTCACTCGAAATATGTTTGTGGAAGGAAACTGGCATGTTGAAGTTTGCTCTGGGGCCAGAGTCAATCGAACTGAGCCACTCCTTTGTGTTGACCCATTGCCTCCAAGTTGCCCAATTTTTCGCTTCAAAAAAGTTCAAATCAGAGGTGGCTCCAAACCGGACACGTTTTAGAGTGCACGTCAAATTCACTTTGGGTCTGAAATTAGCTAATTGCTATCGCTCCACGACAGCCAGTACAGAGTAACAATAAGCCTTGTGTGTGCTTCCATTAGTTTTGATTGGTATGCGGTGCTTTATTGGCAAGAGGCGAGCCGCTGTTTACCTGCGACAAGAAGTTGATTTTTCGAAAGTCGTAAAACTCAAGTCGCAGTGCGAAGCAACACGTCAAAAACTCACCTGCTTGGTATGGCGCGTCTGGTCATCGCAGAGCCATGAAATTTTGGCTCGGAGTATAACACATCGTAGTCTCACTGTGACATATGTTTTCTAATCAAAATACCAAGAGAGAAAGTGAATATGAGTCCGTTCCGGTTTGCAACCTGTGTCCTATTTGAAACCGTCGCCTCTACCCGGTGAAACACCCTAACCATACACCTACAAGTATAACATATATCCTAAGGACTCAGGCTGAGATGCCCGACTGGTCCTGGGTCCTGTGATAAGCACGATCATCATTTGTGATGATGAAAAGTGACAGGTAACACCCAGACTATTACATGCTCTGTAAATAGGAAAGATCAACGCCACCAGAATCTGCCTTCCTACAAGCCTGAAGCTTCTCTACACAAGAGGGATATATCGGCTCTCTTGAAATTCAACTTACGATTACATGAGGCAGCTGCCCCACTCCAGGAACCGTCAATCTGGCAGATGCGCACAATGCTTCCCTGCAGGTTGTATCCGGAATTTCAGCCGAAGACGACGCTGCCTCCAGCAGAATAGTTTGTGCCCTGGGAGTAGCCGTTGGTCGGTTTAGCTAGCGGTGTGCACACACCGGCTGTACACGTCACAGGCACGTACACACACAGGCACGTACACACACAGGCACACACACACACACACACAGGCACACACACACACACACACACACACACACACACACACACACACACACACACACACCTTGACCTTGATACACAAGGATTCTTCATTATTTGCCACGTTTGAGCTGAGCTGCGATCATCGCGCTTTGTTGCAGTGTGCTAAAAAAACAAGAACAAAAAAAACGGCCAAAAAAGTGGGGCGGCTGAGGCCGCCCCAGCCACCCCAGCTGTGCCGGCCTTGCATGCCTGGTGTACGGTCTGAAAGATGAAAGATGGAGCTCTTGTATACACGGGCCCGGAAAGTCTGCTTCGCCTGCTCGGCAGCAGCTTCGTAGTGGTGGTCAAGGGTCGAAGACCGACGGATACGGATCAACTCCCCAGTGATCACACCTTTACCCATACTACGGGGGTGGTTACTACCGGCAAGCAGATACAGGAAACGATTGGTGACCTTGAAATGAGGCTTCACCGCCATGTATCCCTTACTACGGAAAACTGTGGTGTCCAGGAAATCAATGCCATCATGTGCCAGTTCATGCGCAAACTCGAGGGCCGAACACTTATTAATCCTGTCTAAAGCGCGCTGAACTTGACCTTCGCAACCATGCAATGAAACAAAAATGTCACTGATAAAGCGTCTATAAACCTGAACCTCTAAACCCTCCCCCTCTAAGATCGGCAAAATGTACCGATTCTCCAAATACAGCATAACAATGTCGGCATAGACCACTGCTGCAGGCGAACCCATGGCAGTCCCTTGGATCTGCGGAAACAAATCGTTATCTTACACGAACCCGTTAGTCTTCCGAATGACTGACATCAAGGAAGTCACTGCTCTTGTTAACCGTGTACGAAGGGCCGGGGGCATCCACCTTGTATACCTGTGTGTGATATACCACGACAATGCCACGTGACCGAGCTCGTTGGGGATGCTGGTGTAAAGGCTGGTCACATCTATACTAAAAATAAATGATCGTCCCGCACAGGCAAACCTTCTACCAAGTTGATGAAATCCGTAGTTCAGGCCAGAACAGTACTTTCCTCACGTACATACAGGTTCAGTAGAAAGTCAATGAACTTAGTGGGATAGTAGCCAGGACTATTCAGACTAACAATATGCCTAACCTTCAGGGCACAGGGCTTATGTGTTTTGATAAGTCTCCTGAAAACGGGCATACGCCCCCGGTGCGACTAAGAACAGTGACATATAAAATGGTCATACGATGCCCGATGCGATGCCTAGTCATGGTGAGTAAACAATTGACTCGGGTCGCAAACACGAAGTCTCAACACAGCCTTGAGCCTGTTGGTTGCCATCGGCAGTCTAGCCACATGTTCATCTAGCCCCTCAGGAAAAAAAACAGTCATTTATAATGTTGGGCATTGTGATGCTGGGCACGACCTATATCATCATAGTGAGATCCGTCCAGGACTACTATCACAATAGACTGCCTTTGAATATGCCCGAGTCTGATCGCGTTCTAATTCCCAAACTATGTGCTGCATGTGTACACTCCGCCTATGGTTAGTCTACTCCAGAGCAACGCCTGGAGAGGTTCATTGGGGGCATGATGTCCCCCCACCCCATCCCCCTTGCCCCCTGCACCTGAAGTACCGGTATTGCCCCTCCCCCCCCCCCCCCAAATAAAGTACAGGACACAGATGGAGCACTGGGGAGCACGTAGCAGTAGGCAAGTTGACGATGCCAGTGCAGACATTTTGTCCGTCGGTCTATGTAACGATAACGACGCGACAAACTGGTGCCAAAACCCGGGATGAGCAAAGGCAAGAACAAGAAAGGTGCTGTAACACCGTCGAAACCGGTTGGAGAGAACGAATCTCCACTGGAAAGTTACAAAGAAGAAGATGACGAACCGTCTCAGGCGATGTCAACACCAGCGGCATCGTCGTTCGTCGCTGCACGCAAGTCGAGGGAAGCTCACATTTACGCGGGCGTCTTGGAACAAGACTTGCAAGCAAGTCTCCAGTATGACGACTGGCGCAAGATGTCTGATGACGACGATCTGGAGACGACAATGGAAGAGTTAAGTATATTTGTTGATAAATTTAATGACTCTGTTATTGTCTTTGAGGGGGTGTGTGATACTCTTGTAGAAACTTCGGGCTCACCCCTGTTATCTCCGGAGGTTGACTTAGACAAATTGCTTCTGTTAGGTGTAGATTGTAACCGTCGCATCAGCTTCCTCAGATCCGTTCTAAAGCAGTTGCACATCCGTCACAGAAGAAACACGGCAGTCGTGACGCAACCCACTACACACACTAACCACGCTGTCTCACCTGAGGTCAAACTCCCCAAGCTGGACCTGCCCAAGTTCGATGGTTCTGTTTTGAAATCTCAAGAGTTTTTTGATGTGTTTGTTGCGACTGTCCATGACAACGCACGCATTTCTGATGTTCAGAAATTAAGTTATTTGAGAGAGTGTCTGGTGGGGTCGGCTAAAGAAGCTGTGGCAGGATATCAGATCACAGACGCCAATTATCGGGTAGTGTGGGGTGTGCTAAAGGAACGCTATGGATCCAAACAGAAATCCATACACGCACACTACACTGCTTTGATGAATCTGCCACCTGCGTCTAACAAGACCCACTCACTGCGCAGCTTGCATGACAAACTCGAAGAACATCTGCGCAGTCTCGCAGCACTTGGCCAAGACGTTGGTCAAGACATCTTCGTCTCACTCATTCTAAACAAGCTCCCTCAGCACACCGTGCTGCAGCTTGAACTGCGAAAACCAACTCAGTGGAAAGTCAGTTCACTGCGACAGGCATTCAGTGAATATGTTAAGGCCAAGGAAGTCGCCGAAGAACAGGGCGCAGTGCATTCAGAGTCCGACCGTGCTCAGACTAGCTCGCAAACCAGGCCTAAACCCAGCCAGAATTCCCACCGATCCGGAGCAACACTGCTGAACGACCGCCAACCCAAGTGTCATTTTTGTAAAGAATCTCACTTCTCGGACGAATGTTTGAAGTATCGTACCGTTGAACAGAGAAAGGAACGTGTCAAGGATCAATGCTTTCGCTGTTTTCGCAAGGAACATTCTGCTCGGGATTGTACTATCACTCGCAAGTGTTACTATTGTTCCGGACCACATCACCGCAGCTTATGTGTCACCAAGTTCGGTCAGGCAACCTCTGCGCTCAACGTCCATGCGGAACCGTTCTCACCCGACACTGCGCTCATCTCGCCTGAGGGCAATGTCAACCTGCAAACAGCGCTGACAGAAGCTAGACACAACTCCTTTGTGAAGCCAGCCCGCCTCCTTTTCGACACGGGTGCATCTCGGTCGTATATCACTGCAGATCTTCGCTCTGCTCTTGATCTTCCTACAGTCGCCACTGAGTCCATGTCCACAGCCACTTTTGGCGCGTGTAGTCGTAAACATCAAACGCTTGACGTCGTCGAAGTCGAGGTTCGGCTGTCCAACGGCTCCCTGAAGAAATTACCCGTGAGCGTCGTTCCAGTCATCTCTAGCCCTATAGCGAAGTACCCCGTCGACGCCACAGGTCACCCTGCTCTGCGTCATCTTCCTCTTGCGGAACCCCTATCCAGTAACCAGGAGTGGGTCACAGTAGACCTTCTTATTGGCAGTGACTATTATTTTGACTTTATTCTATCCGAACGCCTCAACTTCCCAGATGGTCTCATCTTACTGCAATCGACACTGGGCTATGTGTGTACCGGGAAAGCTTCGAGTAACGACCCTAAGGACGCGACATGCTTCTTCTCCTCGAGCGAAACGTCCACCATCGTTCCTGACGCTAATCTTCACCAATTCTGGGCAGCCGATGAGATACAGGAACCAGACGATTGTCGTGATGATGATGCCCGAGCACACCAAGCATTCAAGGATTCGGTGCAATTTGAAGACAACAGATATGTTGTCAAGTGGCCATGGAGAGACTGTGCGCCGCCTCTGCCCGACAACTATGGTTTAGCCTTCGGTCGACTGCAGTCCCTTTACAAGCGACTCTCCACAGATCACCGCCAGCTAGAGAAGTATCATGAAGTCATTGAGCAACAGGCCCAGTCTGGAGTCATCGAAGAAGCACCTAGGTACTCAGACTCTAAGCTCCACTACCTGCCACATCACGGTGTGTTCAAAACAACCAGCACGACTACCAAGTTAAGATTGGTGTATGATGCATCAGCCAAGTCTGCACACGATGCTCCCAGCCTCAATGACTGCCTACACAGAGGACCAGTCCTCCTTCCTGACCTCACAGGAGTCTTGCTTCGCTTCCGAACATTTCCTATCGGCATCATCAGCGATGTGGAGAAGGCCTTCTTACAAGTCAGTCTCGCGGAAGAAGACAGGGACGTGACTCGTTTCCTCTGGGTACGCGACATCCATTCTCCTGTCAGCGGCCAGAATCTAGTCACTTATCGTTTCACTAGAGTTCCCTTCGGTGTAGTCTCAAGTCCTTTCCTTCTTGCGGCTACACTCCAACACCATCTAACGCGTATAGAGTCTCCTCAAGCTCACCACATTCTTGCCAACACATATGTTGACAACGTAGTAGGCGGCGTGTCTGATGTTGCTGCTGGCCAGCAGTACTATACCACAGCGAAATCCAATTTTGCCCGAGCCTCCATGAACTTACGCGAATGGAGCACCAACTCGGAAGAACTTAAGGACCTTTTACCGGAAGGCGACAGAGCAGACAGTGTACTTCAGCAGGTGTTGGGGACCACATGGGACACCAGCCATGACACTTTGAATATCTCCGACACACAGATGTCCCAACGGCTCGTCCGTTCGAAACGCGAGCTACTACAAGCCCTTGCGCACTTCTATGATCCTCTAGGCATCCACGCGCCTGTAGTCGTCAAAGCGAAGCTGATCCTTCAAGAAGTCTGGAGACTCAACTTGGATTGGGATGATCCACTCCCAAACTCTATACATGACGCCTGGTCTACTGTGGCTACAGAAATGGATGTCGCGTCCACATTTACAGTTCCCCGGTACTGCTCGCTGCCGTCTGCAGAAACACACAGCCTTCACATATTCTGCGATGCGTCCCAGTCTGCATACGCTGCTGCAGCATACTTAAAAACCAGCGCTGAAGGGCGCGATGTATCTCACCTCATCTTCAGCAAATCCAAAGTCGCCCCCATCAAACGACCAGAGACACTGACCATACCAAGAATGGAACTTATGGCAGCAGCACTCGGCGCTAAAGTCGCAAGACACCTGACAAAGCAGCTAGATCTAAAGTTCGAACGGGTCTGCCTGTGGCTTGACTCAACGTGTGTCCTGGGCTGGGTTCGAAGTACCAAGAAACTCCCCAGCTTCGTACAGAACCGTGTCAAGTATATCAACGAGTCAGGTGTTGAGTGCAAGTATGTACCTACCTTCGAGAATCCAGCCGACTTGCCTTCCCGTGGCAGTACCATACATCTCTCTGAGGAGTCGTTGTGGTGGCATGGTCCTAACTGGCTTATTGATCCCTCTATCTCCGAACCAGAGTTCCCAGGTACATTCGCTCCTGCATCTCATGTACAGGGGGAGGGTCCTTCGGAATTCGGTCCTGCTAGTGAGACTTCTTGCGACCGCTCAAAAAAAAAGGTTGCAGAAGACTCGGCCCTCTGTTCGACTTCGGTTCCCGGTGATGTCAGTGAGGCTTCTTGCGACCGCTCAAAAAAAAAGGTTGCAGATCCTGCTCTCCGTTCAAAAAAAAAGGAGACACAGACGGAGCCCTCGTCCCCCGTTCAAAAAAACAGGGGCAGCGAGAGCACACCCACTTCCCGCTCAAAAAAAAAGGGATGTGAACCCCCGTTTGGCATTGACATCACTAGATTTTCGTCGTTGAGCAAACTGATTCGAGTTACCGCATGGGCAAGTCGTTTCGTCGAAAAATGCCGCAAGCAAGAGAGATGTCACAGTACACCCTGGCTCTCCTCTGAAGAGCTCCGCAAAGCTCACGTGACGTGGTTGAAGTTTGACCAACGCCAGCAGTACGCTCAGACTTACTCGGATCTACAAGATGGAAAATCTAATCAACTTATTGTCTCTCTCCGTCTCTACACTCATGAAGGAATCATCAGATCTGCTGGGCGCCTACAGTTTGCAGACGTTCCTGAGTCGGCACGTTCGCCTATCCTCCTGTCCAGCAGTTCTCACCTGACCACACTAATAATCAGTGAGACTCACCACAGTCTGATGCATGCGGGTGGTACCCACACATTGGCATCCTTGAGAAACCAGTACTGGATCCCTCAAGGCCGACGCTCCATCAAATCTGTTCTGAAGAAGTGTGTGGTGTGCAGACGTCTGCAAGGTGGACCGTATCATCAGCCACAGATGCCCCAGCTACCATCACAGCGAGTAACAGCAGCTGACGCGTTTACATTCACCGGACTCGACTATTTCGGGCCAATCTATGTGCGCAACCCAGACAGCGAAGTATCTAAGACATGGGTATGCCTATTCACTTGTCTAGTGACAAGGGCAGTACACTTGGAGTTAGTGGAAAACATGAGTGCGGAGCACTTTGTCCTCTGCCTCCGGCGCTTCACTGCAAGGCGTGGGGTTCCCCAGTTCATTGTCTCTGATAATGCCCCACAGTTCAAACTGACGAAGTCCGCCATCGACAAAGCCTGGTCGCAACTCGTCATTGACCCTGATGTGGTGCATCACGCCACTTCGAAAGGCATCTCGTGGCAATTTATTGTAGAATCTGCACCATGGATGGGAGGCGTTTATGAACGCATGGTGGGTGTTGTGAAGTCAGCGTTGCGCAAGGCCATCGGCAATCGACGCCTGTTACCGACTCAACTCCTGACGGTACTCACTGAAGCAGAAGCGGTTGTCAATAGTCGGCCTCTGGTGTATGTAGGGGGTGACTCGGGTGACTGTGGGGTGATCACACCCTCTCACTTTCTATCTCTGAAACCTAGCTTAGGGTTCCCGCCTCTGTCTCCTACTCATGATGAATTTGATACTCAGTTTGTTCCCGATTTGTCTTCTGCTGTTTCTTTGCTCCAGACGTGGAAGAGAGGTCAAGCGTTAGTGGACGCCTTCTGGAGCCACTGGAGGAAACACTACCTCCTCGCATTGCGTGAACGAGCAGATGCCCACAGCAGGAAACGTGGTGAACATTCAATGCAGCCTCAGGTTGGTGACGTGGTGATAATTGCTGAGCAACACATGCCCAGAGCCTCATGGAAACTTGGTCGAGTAGTGGAGGTGCACAGCAGCTCAGATCAAGAGATCCGATCAGCCACGGTCAGAGTAACTGGAACAGACCGACGGATTAGGAGACCTGTCACCTTACTTTACCCACTTGAGACCATGCCAGAACCTGCAACACCACCGAATATTACACCACCAGCAGAACCTGCAGCTCCACGGACTCCGGTTACTAGTAACCCACAGCCAGTCGCCAGACCTACACGCCGTGCTGCTGACCGTTGTCGTCAAGGCATCAAGGACATGAAAGATAAGGATCTTGTCTGATTCGTCAGACTAACATTCTAGCGTTTCTTTCTCTCTCTTTCTGTCTTTGTGCCTCCGCTGACACTGAGTGCGTGTTGGTTATTCGATCGTGCGTACAAGCACAACTCATTACTATTCTCTCTTTCTGTCTTTGTGTCTTCGTCGACACACTTCCGATTGCGATTCTATGTATTTGACCGTGTACTGACACGGTTTATTGTTCCCTCTCCCTCTTTCTTATTCTCTTGCCTGTGGGAGTGTCGCGAATCTCACGACGGAGATTCCGAATTATTTATTTTTACGTATTTTTGTGTATTTTTTACGCATGAGATTTTTTCTTGCGTACAGCCGCCATGTTTATTTTCTATGGCAACGAGGTCAGCACACGAGGAAAGAACTCGGGGCTCCTTCGTCCACGTAGACAGATATATTTTGCTTCCACTCGTTTCAGAGTTACAAATGTATGCTTCTCTCTCAGATCAGTATTTATCCAGAGAAGTATTTACT